TCTCCTACCTTAAAAGTCTGCTGTCTTCGATGTTTGTCACATTGAGCCTTGTATCTCAAATTCTGCTTTTGGATTCGCTCGCGAACTTGCTCATGCAACTTCTTAATTTCCTTAGCCCTTTGGTCAGCATCAGAGCTATATTGCTGCTTATCAAGTGAAGGGGTCAAGTCTAGTGGACTAAGGGACACTTCAAACGGACACTTCCCAGTTGCTTGGTTGACAGAGTTATTATAAGCAAACTCAACTTGAGCAAGAATAAGATCCCACTGCTTCAAATTCTTCCCTATGAAACTGCGAAGAAGATTACCAAGAATCCTATTTATAGCTTCAGTTTGACCGTCTGTCTGGGGGTGACTAGCGCTGCTAAACTGTAGCTTAGTTCCCATCTTCTTCCATAACGTTCGCCAAAAGTGGCTAAGAAACTTCACATCACGGTCAGAAGTGATAGTTCTAGGAATGCCATGAAGACGCACAATCTCCTTAAAATACAAGTCGGCTACTTGAACAGCATCGTTGGTCTTCTGGCATGGGATGAAATGGGCCATTTTTTAGAAGCGATCCACAACTACCATGATAGAATCTTTTTGCCTCTGAGTCCGTGGTAAACCCAGAACAAAATCCATAGTTATATCTTCCCAAGGTGCTTCTGGAATTGGCAGAGGCATGTATAGTCCAGTATTCTGACCCTTGGATTTAGCTAAGTGACAAATTCTGCATCTCTGTATATGCCTGTTGACATCCCGTTGAAGTCGAGGCCAGTAAAAGTTCTCCTTCACTAGGTTAATTGTCTTTCTCGTCCAAAATGTCCAGCTAATCCACCATCATGTGCTTCCCAAATTATGGCTTCTCTCAAGGAACCCTGTGGAATACAGAGGGTTTTACCTCGAAATAAAAACCCGTCGTGTCTGTAGAACTGATGGAAAGGTTGATTTATAGTTGCTTCCCATACTCCTCGGAAATCAGGATTTGAAAGAGTTGAGAAAATGCCCGGTTTGTAAAACGCGAAGACGTCAGGGACTCCTCCTCTGAATCTCTCTTCTTTCCGGCATACTTTCTCAACTGTAACTCACTCTCTCGTTCTCTGGACCAGCTCTGATACCAAAATGTCTGTAGAACTGGTGGTAATGATCTGGTAAAAATTTCCTGGTGAGCTGGCGTTTCATTTTCTCCCAGGTTTCAATCTTGCGCTTTCCCTCACGTTCTCGCTTCCGTCTGAGGTTTTCCCACCAAATAGAAGCATGTTTCTTAAGTTTGAGGGCGACAATTTTGACTTTCTGCGCATCAGGAATCTCCTTGTATTCAAATACTCGTTCAACAGTTTGTAGCCAATCTACAAACTCGTCTGGCTGGAGCCTTCCCTCGAATTCAGGAATGTCAACCTTGATGTCATTAGGGCGGAATTGTTGTTGTCGTGGGCGGCGGCGATTTTTAGTAGATGACGAACTACTGCTTCCCGAATCTCTCTCTAAGTTTTCTCTATTGTTGTTTAACAGAGTTTGCTGCAATTCCACAGTGGCTTCTAATTCTCGTATCCTACGTCTCAACTCTTCCATCTCAACCTTGTGCACATGTCTACGTCTTGGAGGCATTTTGAATAAGTGTCAAGGCTAGGGATAAAGATTGGGGTGCGATTGGAAACGTTGAAGGATATAGGGGTAAAGTGAATTTTTTTTTTTCAAAGGCTAGGGGCAACATGGGGATTTTGGACTGTCTAGGGGGTAAAATAGCGATTCTAGAAGAATGATGGGTCAAATTGAAATTTATGAAAAATATAGGGGTTAAACTGGAATTCAGGTAAAATCAAGGGGCAAAAGTGTAATTTTAGGAAAGTTTAGGGGTTAAAATGGAATTTCTGAAAAATTTGGGGGATAATATGAAATTTCATAAAAAATAGGGGTAAATTTAGAATTACTGAAAGATTTGGGGTGAAAATGCAATTTCTGAAAAGTTGGCTGACTGGGCGCAGTGACGTGGCGACTGTGACACGTGGCATAAAACTATTGGTCTGACCTGTCGTTGACCGGTCAGAACGATGATGTGGCAGCTGACGTCAGCGTCTTCAACCTTCGGATAGCGCGTGACGGCGCGTGGACCGGCGGCGAGGCGCGTGGTTTTCCGACGGTAGAGCGTGGCGGCGCGTGCGACTGTTTCCGGTGACGGGGAACCTCTTGTTCCACGTTTTCGGACCTCCTGAGCACGATGGTGATGTTAGTTTTCTGAGAAAATGCCCGGTTTGTAAAACGCGAAGACGTCAGGGACTCCTCCTCTGAATCTCTCTTCTTTCTGGCGTACTTTCTCAACTGTAACTTACTCTCTCGTTCTCTGGACTAGCTCTGATACCAAAATGGCACAGAAACCGAATGAAAAGAGAAAACTCTGAATTTTAGTTATAGTCTGCCTCTCTTACAACAAAGTGAGTGTCCTATTTATAGTGTTAGGACTCTGAATGAAAACAGTAATCAGCTAACGTTACAAATGTAAATGCTAAACGTTTTATTGGCTTAATGAAGGGTAACGAAACACGTTTGGCTTCAATTCTGTAACTCTCGTGTATTAGTTCTGTTGTCCGTTTCAGTCCGTTTCAATAAGCAGCTTTAGTTAAAACTTTATTCATTCACTAACAGGTGCACGAATCCATGCCCATTTTTTTAAAACCCAAGAAAGCAATAAAGTGGAACGCACCCACCTAAAGCAATTAGGGAGGAAAAACTCCATCTCATTTTCCCCACCCACAATCACGACTGAAACTTTAGGGAAGAAATAAAATTCAAAATTTCAGCCACCCAATCACACACTCACATGCAGATTAGATATGAGAAATAGAAAAGGAGGTGGAATTTGGCTCGCCGATGAAGCAAAGAGGAACGCGAAGAAAGGTTCAAAGTCCCTTCATCAGAAGGGCGGTGATGGTGCAGGGGAACTGAACGAAACTAAGGAACTGAAAGGCAACTGGAAGTGTGGACAGAGGATAACGAGAAGAAGAATGGAAGCATCGAGTGCACCTGCTCGAACCCACACAACAACATTGACGGAAGATAGGAAGAAGAAGAAGGTTCTGGCGAAGCAAAACAGAACTGAGAAGAGAAATCCGGTGGCAATGAACCCACGGCAATGGAGGAAGCATGGACGAGCTGCTGCACTGGTCGACGACGGATGAATGATGGAGGAGGAAGAAGGGAAATGGAGGGTTTGAACGAAGACTGATCTCTCTCTCTTCTAGCTTGTTCTGGAGCATATGAAAATGATCGATTAGAGGAAAAATAAATTAGAAATGGCCGAAGTATATTTCTCTCCCATTTTCTTCTGTTTTTTTTTTTTCCCTGAAAGGGCATTTCAATAATTTCATGTGACTCGGCAAAATAAGCTGTTCCACCTAGACAACTAATAAAATTTCCTTAAAATTTATAACAATACCCTTGAATTTTAATTTTTTAATTAATTTTTTTATTGGATTATTACATAACTATCTCTTCTACTATTGTTGGATCCCCCTTCGTTTTTTTTCCCCTTTACAATCATTGATTTTTTTTCAATTAATTATTTATTGCATTTTTTAAATTTCTAAATTCCCCGGCCATTACATATATATAATTGATTCCTTGTGCCTCAGGTTGCAAAGCAGAGGAATGCCAAGCTGAATGATGCAATCATTAAAGGAAATTAATGGTCTTCAAAAAATGTAGGTTCCTCAATAACATTTTGATTTTCTTTGACAAAAACTCTTACTCAGTAGAGGGGTTATGTGCATGCTTGCTCTTTTGTATTCTTTGGATGTACTGATTTATCAGTTTATAATATCAATAGAGAGTGAAGAACATGTCAACTTGCCATGACCTGTTTCTTAGTTTTGCTTTCATGCAAGTTTAATTGAATCATAGCATTTTGGGTGAAGGTAAGAAAAATTTGGAAGTTAGGTATGTATTAAGGGAAACAGTAAATTATCACCTATTAAACAATGAGGGGATACAAAAGTGTCCACTATCTATCAATAAAAATGTGTAATGTTGTGAATGCTGAGTTACGGGGCTCAATTAATTACTGGCCTTGAGCAATGTTGAGAGGCAGGATTTAGGAAGATGGAAGTGGAACTAGATGCAGCAGTATTGTTCAATCAGATTCAGATTTGAAGCTTGAAGGTAGGGGAAAAGGCAAGCTTTTGCAGAAGGTGTGTAGTGGGTTGAGAAGGGATTGGGAAGTCCAAGTGTATAATGTGGCTCGTGAAGGGAGTAAATGTGCTGACTTTTTTTTTTTTTCTTTTTGGGGTGTGCTAATTCGGGTCTCAATTTGATAGAAGGTATTAATGTGTGGCATATGATATGGTCGAAGATTTATTTGTTTAGCAGATAATTGTGGTTTTGGTTTTGATAGGGGCTAGGTGTTTTCTTGCTGTTTGTTTCAGTTTGCTTTCTTGCTAGTTTTTCCTTTTTGGGCTTTGTCTCATCTCGAACCAAAAAAACAAAGAAAAAATTTGTTTTGCTACCTAACCAGATGAGTATTGGGTAGGTTTCATATCTATTTCCATGAGAAAATAATTTTTGTTAAAAAAAAAAAAAAAAGGCAGAGTTAAGGTACCGGCCGGGATTGCCCGTGTGTAAGGGTTAAAATAGAAAAGAAGCAGAATGGAAGACTCCAAAATAATGAATTAATAAATTATTAAAGGTGACAATATTATAATCTTCCACTTACAGAGAAAAACATAAAATAATAATCCTGAAAGACGACAAAATATTGAAACTAACTTTGTTTTGCCGCCAAACCAGATGAGTCTTTGAGTTAGGTTTCCTGTCTATTAATTCCAAGAGAAAACTAGCAAATGGAAGAATCCAAAATAATGAATTAATAATTGATAAATTACTAATAATGCAATATCAAGTATCCATCGTGTTCACTATAAACTTTCCCTGAGACGTACTAGTTAGATCAAATATTAGTTGAAGTTGTCTCTTGATTACTATTTCACGCCTTCTATTTTTTTTGCTTCAATCAAACACAAACTTTCAATGGCAATTAGCGCTGAAACAGCCTCTATGTCCTCCTCTTCAGCTATCTCACCATGGAAGTATCATGTTTTCTTGAGTTTCAGGGGAGCAGATACTCGCACAGGCTTCACAGACCACTTACACGCTGCTCTTAAACAAAGAAGTATCGAAACTTTTATCGATGACGATGAGCTTGAGAGAGGAGAGATTATTTCTGACCAACTACTTCAAGCAATTGATAAATCTCTCATCTCCCTTATGATTCTTTCTGAAAAATATGCTTCCTCACGTTGGTGTTTGGATGAACTCCAAAGAATTCTTGAATCTAAAAAGTGTTTGGGGAGAGAAGTTATCCCAGTATTCTATAAAATAGATCCATCTCATGTAAGATATCAAGGAGGAGCCTTTGCACATGCATTTCAAAAACATGTTGAGAGATATGATCCTAAGAAGGTGCAAGGATGGAGAGATGCCTTAAAAGAAATTGAAGATATATCTGGCTATCACTCTTTAAATAGGCAAGTTTTTATTATTTCAGCGCATGGATAATAAATTATTTTGTCTTCAACTCATCTTCCAACGATAGTATTTAATATTGCATGATTTAGATATCTTTTGGTAAGAAAATATTATTATCAGATAAATGATAGTTTTTTTCTCTCTTTATTCCTCATCATAAGGTCAGAAAATTCTATTATTCTTAAATAAAATTCGACCATTTAGTTGATCTTAATTACCTAGGCATGTTAAATATAATTTTTAATCTTTGCTAAAATAATCGAAGTCTATATAAATTGATATATACACCCAGAGAAGTTGTAGAAAATGAATCTGAATCCCATCAATTATATAGTTTCAAGAGGAGGGGAATGTTTTTATATTACCTTATTTGGTTTTGTTAGAGGGGAGGAGAGGGATTTTTAGGGCCTGTTTGTCATCTATTTTTTTTAAAACTATTTTTTATTTTTAAAAATAAAAAATTAAACACTTATTTAGATAAGTGTTTTGTATTTAATTATTTTCAAAATTGTTTTTGTTTTATTTTAAAAACAAGATTTTTTTTAAAAATAAAAAATCAAAAACAACTTCAAGTTGTTTTCATTTTATTTTCTTGTTTTTAAGATACATTACATTTGATTATTAAAGTTATAGTTAACTTGATGAATTTCTATTATAAATCATCACCATTAATCACCTACAACTATCATTATCAGTCTATTCTTTAATTTGAAAATTATTCTTAAATTAATATAACCAAACAGATTTTCAACTAGTTTTGTTTTTAAAAACAATTCTAAAAATTGTGTTACAAGGCAGTTTTTTTTAAAAAAAAATTAGAACAAAAACCAAACATGCTCTTAACAATCATTTGTTTGGTTCTTTGGGAGGGGAGGTGATAAATAATTTATTATCATACTCTTACATGAAAGATAGGATAACCATCATGAGTGGGGCCCAAAAAATGGGAGAAAAACAACACAACTTTCTACTGCAAATATGCGTATACAATTTGCAAAGAAATGACATGGATTGCTTTTGAATTAAAAACTAACGTTAATTATTAGAGTGTTCAAACTAGGTCCCATATAAGAAACTTATTTATAACTAAGTTTCATGACTTTGTGAAAATACACTCAAGTTCTATGAGACTTGTTGTAATTAATTTCTCATATAAAATAACACAAATACCCTTAAACTTTCACCTCTTTTACTAGCATTGACTAGTGGCTGGCGGTTGTTGACTAGCCATCGACCAGCTAACATTAACCTGTCAAAAAAAAAATTTAAATTTTTTATTAAAATATTAATGCTTTAAAATTTAAAATTTGCAAGTCAAACATCACATATTAACAAATAAATATTTAAGATTTACAAGTAAAACTCTTTATATTTACAAGTCAACCTCTTGCAATATTAATACATTTATTTTTTTGCCAAAGTAAAACTAATACTTTAATATTTGCAAATTAAAGTTCACAAATTTATGAGTTAGCATTGTAAATTAAGATGTTTTAACTTGTAAGTCTATGAAGTTGACTTGCAAATATTAATCTATTAATATTGTAAGAGGTCAACTTGTGTTTGTTCTGTAAATCATGACGATTTACTTGTAAAGTGATGTTTGACTTCTAAATATTAAAATATGAATAACTAAATGAAAATATTTTTTCAAAAAAAATATTTCTTGATTGGTCAACGTTGGTCAATGACTGGTCAACGGCAACAGTCATAGGTCAATGACCACCAACACTAGTCAAAGGAGTGAGAATTCAAGGACATTTGTGTTATTTTACATGGTAAATGAATTACGACCAAGTCCCATGAAACCTAATTGTATCATCACAAATTTGTGGAACTTATAAGTTTCTTATATTTGATCTATTTGTAAGTTTCCCTTACAATTATTTGGACATTTGAGTATTACTTTTAATTTTTTAGATTTGAAAATATTCTATATTTGTCATATATGTGAATGAAAACTAATTTTATGATTATTCTTCTCTTTCATGTAGGCATGAATCAAAGCTCATCGAGGAAATTGTCATACAGTTTTGGACAAAATTACAACCTAGACAACCATATGACAAAAATGAATTTGTGGGTATTAAGTCAACGACAGACAAACTGAGTTCAATTTTCAGGATAGGGTTGGATGATGTACGCTTGCTTGGAATATGGGGAATGGGCGGTCTAGGCAAAACATCTCTTGCAAGAGCTATTTATCAAAGGATTCAAAGCCAATTTGATGCCTCATACTTCTATGCCAATGTTAGGGAAATTTCTAAAAAGAAGGGATTGGTTCACTTGCAGAGAAAATTTCTTTCATGTTCTCTACAGCTGAGAAACAAGGAATTTGATCATATTGATGATGAATATGAAGGAAAGAACATGATAAAAACATTTTTATGCAACCAGAAAGTTTTAATGGTATTGGATGATGTTAGTGAAATGAGCCAACTCGAATTCCTTGCAGCAAAGAAAGATTGGCTAGGTCCAGGAAGTAGAGTAATAGTGACAACCAGGGATAAGAAACTATTGACAGTGCATGGAGAATTTGAAACATATGTAGCAGACTTTTTGAATGATGAGGAATCACTTCAACTTCTTTGTCAATCGGCTTTTAAAAGTGATCAACCACCAGTTGATTATTTGGAGTTGTCTAAAAGTGTAGTTGAACAAGCCGCAGTCCTTCCTTTGACACTTAAAATGCTGGGTTGTCATCTTTGTGGAAGAAATATGCTTGAGTGGAAAGATGTTTTGGGGAAAATGAAGAAAGTTCTACCAAATGACATTATGAAAGGACTTCAAATAAGTTATGGTTCATTAGATATTTTGGACAAGAAAATATTTCTAGATGTTGCATGTTTCTTCAAAGAAAAGTTAAAAATGGAGTCATAGAAATATTAGAAATTTGTGGGTTTCATCCAATTATTGGAATCAAGACACTTGTTGAGAAATGCTTGCTAGTTGAAACAGATAGAGGGTGTTTGGGTATGCATGATGTATTACAAGAAATGGGAAAAAGTATTTTTTTGGAAGAATCAATTGATATTGGAAAACGTAGATATTGGACAACATAGCAGGTTATGGCCAAAAGAGGATATTAATCATGTATTGACACATAATAAAGTAAGTTTATTAAATATTTAGCAACATTTTATATATTTATTTTTGAAACTTTTATATTTACTATTTCATTGTTCATCATCTTTAATTAGTTGTTCGGTAATTGTTGGTCATTAGGGCACAAACTCAATTGAAGTTATATATCTTGAATCCCTTGGGCAATGTGAAGCACGATGGGGTCCTAAAGCATTCTCAATGATGCATGCTCTTAGAATACTCATCATATCATGTGATGTGTACCTTCCCTTTGGACTAAGTGTCTTCCAAGTTCACTAAGAATTCTTCGGTGGAAGAAATATCCATCGAAATCTTTTCCAGTGGATATTCATCCAAATGAACTTGTTGAACTCAAAATGCAATGCAGTAATACTGTACAACTTTGGAATGATACACTTGTAAGTATATGGTACAATAACTTCAAGCTTACCTTATATTAAGCTAGATTATTATTTTGGAATGTTCATGTATAATATTTTCTATGCTTTGTTCGTTTTGGCTAGATGTTTGAAAAGCTGAAGTTTATGGATTTAAGTCATTCTGAAGATCTGATTTATACTCCTAATTTTTCAATGCTTCCAAATCTTGAGCGATTGATTCTTGAAGGCTTTGTAAAACTTGTTAAGGTTCATCCATCCCTGGGACAACATAAGAAAATTAATATTGTGAGTTTGAAAGATTGCAAAAATCTTAAAGCTCTACCTAGTAGATTGGAAATGGATTCTTTGAGAAAATTGATTCTCTCTGGCTGCTCAAAATTTAGAAAGCTTCCTGAGTTTGGGGAAAACATGGAGTACTTATCAATAATTGAGTTGAAAGATTGCAAAAATCTTGCATGCCTTCCAGATTCTATTAGTAACTTAAAGTCTCTTAGAAGTCTCAATATAGATGGCTGTGCAAAATTTCAATCATTGCCAAATAATTTGGATGAAGACGAAGGTATAGAAGAGTTGGATGTGAGTGGAACCGCTATAACATCAATACCTTCATGCATTGTTGGTTTGAAACAATTAAGTAAACTATATGTAGATGGATGCAATGGTTCTTCATCAAACTCATTATGAAACCTATTCTCCCTAATTTCAAGAACACTTGGATTCACAGGTTCTGAAGCTCCTATAAGGTTGACAATTCCTCCTTCTATCTTTAGCATCCTCACTAAGAAAATTAAGGTTAAGGAATTGCAATCTTAAAGCTGGATCAATTCCGGATGATCTTGGCTGCTTCTCATCTTTACAAGAACTTGATCTTAGTGGGAACAACTTTGGCTACCTTCCTGCTGGAAGTTTGGTTTTTCCTCCTTCATTATTCTCAAGTTTATCATCATTGAAAGAACTGAATTTGCAAGACTGTAATCTCAGTGATGGTTCAATCCCTGATGATCTTAGTTCATTATCATCCTTGTTTCGCTTAAATCTATCCAGAAATAATTTTACTAAGCTACCTCATGGCCTTGTCTCTAATCTGTTGCGTCTTCACTCTCTAGATTTGAATCACTGCAAGAGACACTTGTCATTTCCAGATGTTCCGCCGAATGTGTCATTTATAAATGCAATTTGTTGTCATCCCTCAATGGAACACTTTTCAGAGGTATTGTGGAAGTTCCTTTCATCATCTTATTTGAGATATATCCCAAGAGAATTGCTTGTTCCAGGGAATGAAATTCCATCATGGTTCCATAATCAAAACTTTGATTTTCTTCATGAATTTAAGTATTATGGCTGGGGAATTACACAAATTTGTATGCTAGAGGACGAGGGTGGTAAAACGAATAATCTTGTTGATTGCATTATATCAATAAAAATAGATAACTCTCGTTTTCGTTGTTCGAACAAAAAGTGGGGAGTTTCCTTGTGTCTTGTAGTACAAGACACAATGCCATCAAACTGTAGAAACCCATACAACTCTGTTTATATTTCAATTTTTGCAACTCCTGAATCAAATGATTCATGGTTTGAAACAAGGTGGAAGCTGGATCTAGAGGGCAATTAACCTCATCTTTTCATCTTTTTCCTTACTCCTAGTGGTTTGCAATATGGTCGTGGGGAACTATATACAGACCAACTTAGGTTGACATTGATGACACGTAGAAGGACCACTTCGAGTGTTAATGGGCATGAAGCGAAAAAAGACGATAGTAAAAGTGGAAGACCAGGTTCATTTTCAATAAAGAAGTGTGGGTGGCGTTTGGCAAGCCAGGAAGAATTAGGAGAATATGTTGAAGAGTGGCAGAGAAAAATGAGTGAATGCAGTTCCACAAGTCATCTAGAACTTGAAGACGACAATGCTGTTTGATCAACCTTTGTATGTGAAAAGTAGAGTTGGTTGTTGCTGTTTTCAAAATCAATCAGTTTAAGGTACAGTTTAATTAGTGATAAAAATTAAATTGTCATTTAGTATATAAGCTAAAGAATGGGAGAAAAAAGTTTTGCATCCGTTCTTTTATTGAAAAAATGTATTATATATCTTGTGTCAATTAATGAGAATGATTTTATGTATGTAGTGGGAAGCACAGAGTACTCATATAATCCAAAGCTGATTAAGAAGCTCACCGACATCAAAAGGATAGTTTGCCACAGCCTTTGATGATGAAACAGAACAACAGACTCAAGTAGTTCTTCCAAAAGGGTAACATTATTGAAACAGCCATTTATGTTGCAATTTATAAACATAAATATTCACGTTGGTGTTGATAATAAAAATTTAAGTGGTCTTCAAAATTATCAAATCAAAGCCATATTATAATGTTAAAATAAACAATAATTCTATGTTGGAATTGGCAGGCATGGACTCTGAAAATAATATTCAAAGTTGATTGGGAGCTCGCTGACACCACATGGAAATTTTGCCACAGCCTTTGATGCTGAAACATCACAACACATTCCCTTATTTACTCAAAATTGGTAACTCAACATCTTCCTTTTATGAACGTGTGCTAAACCTTAAAATTTCGTTGGTCTTCAAAATGTTAATATCAATGCCATTATAGCGTTAAAATATCTTCAGAACTGATGAACCAATAAGATCAAGCAATATTTTGACAACTCTCAGGGCCTTAAGATGGACACAAATAGTGAAACTAGCCTGTGATATATTCTTGATATAACTGGAGCATTGCAAATTCTTTTGTTACTAAAATTTGTTGGGATTTCATAGGTTTTGATTGCATGGTAATGTTTTAAAACAATATATGGCGGAAAATGGAGTGTTTGTTTGATTTTTTTTCTTATTTTTCATTTTTATAAATATTTTGTAAACCACAGTTTTAGAAATTGTTTTTTAAAACAAAATAAAAAATATCTGTTTGATTATTTTAATTTAAAATAGTCTGAGTTTAAAAAAAAATTGCTAATAGTGACAGTTGCTAGTAGTTAATAATAATAGTTTATGATAATGATTAGTCATAGTTGATGCCTAACGATGGTTATTAGCCAAGGTAGTTGATGATAGCTAATGGTGGCGACTGGCTAGTGCTAGTGTGGATGGGATTGTCAATAGTGGTAATTATTAACGGTGATGGCTAACATCAGTAACCAATGGCGATGGTCAGTGATAGTTATTGATTGTAGTCATGGCTAATGACGGTGGCAGTAGTGGTAAAAATTAGTATAAAAGCTAAAAATTTTAATGTGGAAAAATAGCTCTGCACATTTTATTTGAATTCTTTAATTTGTTTGAAGAACAAAATAGCTTTATGTATAATGTCAGTTAATAAGCAATAATTTTATGTTTATAATGTCGAGCATAGACTCTAATTCAAAGTTGATTGAGCAGCTAATCAACACCAAAAAAATTCTGCCATGGCCATTGATGCAGAAACAGAACAACCCATGCAGGTAGCTAGTTACTGCAAATCGGGCAGAACTGTCATTCTCCTAAGTTTTTTTTTTTATGTGGAAATTACAAAAAAGTCCAATCATAGCATAAAAAATTATTATGATATCTATAAAACAGGGTATCAATGTTAAGAAGAACCCAATAGAATACACATACACTCTTAGTGAGGTAAACCAGAATAGCTTCTCTAACAACTAGAGCACGTCAAATTAAATCCATAAAACAAAGTATCGGTGCTAGATGAATGCTGTTTGCTCATAATTGCTTCTTCTTTTATTTATTTATTTATTTTCTTATACAAGCCAGAAGTAGCCTCAATCAACAGTAAAGATTATTTCCTCAAAAGTACTAAGGCAAAATATAGACCTCTCCCAATTAAGTTGATACACACACAAAGGTCAGGATTCAAACCAAACAGTTGCTTGAGTGCTTCTTATTTTTGACAAATAAATGCTGGTAGGAAACTAGAATTTGTGAACTTGTTTTTTGCTAATTTGATTTATTTAGTAACTATATATATATATATATATTTCCATGGCACGTAGCCTCTAATATGCTGAATAATGGAATCATGCATGTGCTCTCGAAACAGGGGATATATATATATATATATATATATTTTTTTTTTTTTGCAATCAAAATTAATAAAAAAAATTAGAATTGAAACTTGGAGGTTTTCCATTGAAAATTTACACAATCTGAAGTTGGGTATACCAAAGAAAAATTAAAAACATATTTAATACAACAAAGGAAAATTTGGATGTTACATGCATCCAGTGATCGAATACTTGATTCTACACGATTCAATTGAAAATTTAGCACAGATTTCCTATTCCTAACCGCCTTTATGACAAATAAAAACACAATTAAATCAATAAACACAACATTAACACAAATAAAGGCATAAATTATCATCTACTAATCCAAAATCAACTTAACTATATATATCAAATCCAAAACAAAGGTTTACTACATAAATTGAACATTCCTATGAACAAAATACAAAGCCAACCAAACATGTAATAAATGATCGATATAGAAGGAAGATAAAGGAACGAGGAAACTATTAATTAGTGCTGGATTTCAGTTCATGCCAACAATCTTCTGCATCCCCAACCTTAATCATCCTCTATTTCTGGAAAGAAAAAGGGAAATGTATCCAGAAATAAAATGAAATAGATACATTTTCCTTTTTCCATCTAAAAAAAAAAACCATACTTTTCTACCAACCAAACGGTGCAAAATGAGTAAAAGTGAGCAAAACTAACCCTCAAATAATATAGAAGAAGCCCTCAAAAGTCATCGTCTAAGTGAAGCTATTCATTTTGGATCAGCGATGGCCATAGCACCATGATTCTGATGATAGATCAATGTACTGGGAGTATCATTTTTTCGCCATTACTCCTGTTTTAGCACGAGTTAACATTCCTTAAGTCCTTTCAAAATCACTTTCTTTAATGTCTTTTCGTGAAAATTCCAAATAAAAATAATTAGTGAATAATGCCTGATTTACAGTTAATTTGATTTTTTTCTTCAATTTTTCAGTGTTCGACAATCATTCACATAAAAGCTATGAACTAAATTCTTAAGAAAAACTCTTCAAAACATATATCCAAATCTTGATTATGACTCCCAAATCTCCCCTTATATTTCAAAGGTGTTAAAAACTGGATCAGCCATTAAACTAAATGAGGCACTAGTTTAACAGTTAATGGCTTAGCCATAGTTGAATTGATTATAATTAATTTAATATATTTTAAATTTTAGATGTTAAATTTCACATTAGAAATAAAACTTGTAGGAATATTACAAGGTTCATGGATAAATAAAATTGAAAAGCAAGAGAGCGAAAGGTAGCGTTTTATTTAACCAAGAATCTTTATTAAAATTGCTTAACAAAAAATATGCCCGTTTTCCAGAGCACATGATTCTTTACACACACACACACTACATATATATATATACATATTTTTACTATTCAACATACCAATGCCTTTGGTAGGATGAAAGAGTTTTTTTTTTTTTTAATGGAACTAGAAAAGTTTTTATATTTACGTAAGCACCCTTGTTTCATCATCGGCTCCTGGAGACTATGTATAAGACATAACAATGATATATAGCATAAATTGTGTGTGCGCGAGCGCAAAGTTATTATATATATATATATTGTCAAAAAGTACAAGTATATATGTTTTCTTATATAAATATATATCTGGTAAAATGGAAGCTAACAAGCACAATTTACACACAAACTATGGTGAAGTGAAGGGCAACGAAAAATGATTGTTGTTACCAATGGGGGTTAGATCTAGTAAAATGGACTAATACCTTACAACATGATGAACAAATGTTCAAATTTTCATAGGAGAAGTACTCATATTTAGTATTCAATTGTGCTTTGAATATGATTACTTTTAAAATGTGTTTGTAAATAGCCCTACTGTGCCCACATTTAATATCATGATACCTATGATAGAGATCTCTATTGAAGTATAGGCATTAAGTGCCTATAACATTTGAATCGTTAAAATTTAGACAATCGTTCAAATAAATTAACTTATTCATTAATCTCAAGTGGAGTATGAATTTAGAATCATTGATTTGAATTTCAACAATTCAGATGCTACATATACTCAATACCTAAATTAAGTATAGTCACTGAATTCAAATTTGATTTCCATCATCATTATGTGGGGTAGAAGGAAGGGTTCTTTATAGAGATCGATTGTTCCATTTAAAATGTGTCTGTGAATAGCAATTTGTTCAAACGTCAACATCATGTTAATAAATTTCAAGCGTCATCCTCCAATCAAAGTTCACATATCGTTGTAGTGATCTCTCCATCCTCTAACTGCCTTAATTTGTTCATTAATTTGCACGACTTTATAGTTGATGCATGCTGAGTATTATAAATGGAGATTCACATAATGGTATAAAGCTAAGCTAAACAATAAGTTTTCCCTACTTTGTAAGATGTAAACCAAAAATGTCTTCCTCAAGTCCCAATTCTCAAAGGCGATCCATAGCCAATTTTAGTCCCAATATTTGGGAGTATCATTTATTTGTCTTTGCTTCTGCTTCTATCCTGGTACTTACACTCTTCAACACCCATTCATTTCTTGTGCTTTCAATATTTTCTTCATGTTTTTAACCTTTCTGTATGATTGAAAGTTGAGATTAGTTTGAAGTTAAAGAGAATTAGAGTTGAAGGAAGATATATGAATTCTAAATATTTTAATTTAATATCAATGTCTACTTTAAATAAAAATTATTCTTGAAATTATCCCTTTTATTCCTTTTGGGGCAAAGAAACCTCTAGTTATATAATTTTCATGGTATAGAATGGAGAGTTGGAAATTCTAACAACGACTACAACTTTTGAAGAACCAAATTCAAAAGTTGATACTCGCTCAAGTCGAGGATATTACAAAGAAATTGAACTTAATTGACAATATTACATGTTTAGGTGTGTCGTATCATTTTGAAAGTGAGATTGAAGAAATATTGCATAACATACATGAGAAACCTCCTCCCTTCGAAGGAAAAGATCTTCAAACCATTTCTCTTTGGTTTCATTTGCTTAAGCAACAAAGTTATCATACATCACCTGGTATGTTTAATTATGGTAATGCTATTCGTATCTTTTTCAAGTTGTTATAAGCATGCCTTTTGGAACTTCTTGTTTCTAAAATAGAGACATATACATAGACGTATTTGATCAATTCAGAGATGAAAATGGTGATTTCAAGAAGTCATTGATTGAAGATGTGGTTGGAATGCTGAGCTTATACGAGGCTACACATTTTGGTATCCATGAAGAAGAAATTCTTGACAAAGCTATAAACTTCACTTCTTATCACTTGAAGTCAAGGTTGGGTTCCATGAGCCCTAACCTTGAAACGGAAAGTAATTCATGCATTAAAATATACTATTCGCAAAGATGTACTCAGATTGGAGTCTAGATATTACATACCCATATACTCGACAGAGGCTTTGAAATCTCAAAGTGAGCCATTATTAGAATTAGCCATCCTTATCTTTAACGTTGTGCAAGCACTACAAAAGAAGGAAGTAAACCATACCATCGAGTAAGCCAATTAACTTAGTTATGAATTTCATCTAATAAGTTAGACATATCACATTAAACGAATAATCCTAACTTGTATTTGCATTGCAGATGGTAGGAAAAGTTTTCAAAGAAGGTGTCATATACTAGGAACCGAGTCGTAGAAGGCTACTTTTGGCCATTGGGTGTAT